CGGTTGCCATGAATACGTTAACCATTGATTTCTTCAAAGCTCTTATTCAGCTATTTGTTAGTTAATAACTAATTGTGTGGTTCCTTTGAACACTCAACCGCATTCACATAGTAATATAATCCAACAAAGACAAGAGTCATAAACTGCGAACAAGAGTACAAAATTCATATATTCATATAAGAACTACATTTTGCTCAACGTAATAAACATGTCGACAGGTATTCGATAGAATTTGAGGTCTTTCTTTGAGCTACAGAAATTGAGTTTTATCGACACAGATAGTACTTTTTGTTGTGTGTGTGTGTGTGTGTGTTTTTTTTTTTTTTTTGGTCTAAGTTTGTGGAATTAGAACTTTCTCTCAAGTCTTGGCCTTTTGTTCCATATCGACACATTGCCTCGCAATCAAGTCACTCTGAGTTGTCCCAGGAAGTTGCCGTAGAAATCAAGCTAATTCCCATTATCTGCTACATTGTGGCTGAGATAATGTCCGCAATTTCACTTTCAAAGAAGACTTGGGACTCCAATTATTGAATACATGAAGTGTAATCGTTGTGCAGACTTGGACTTGGAATCGGACTTTTCAATAAGCTAGCATATATATATTATCGACATGAATGTGATAAAGAATAGATGGACATTGTACAATATCTTCTTCTTTTTTTTGGGTTAAATTAGTTCAAATATCTTTGTTCTAGAAGTTCAATCTCCGTCACTCATGTTTTCTTAAGCAAGGATACCATGCCCTGCCCGTCCCCTTCTTTCCCAGCCCCATTCGGCCCCCAATGGGTGAATGCTATCACTATCTCAGACTTTGCATGCTTCATATTCTTGTCTCCTTTGATTGAACAATCTAATCAAGAACTACTTTATTCTAAGTAATGAACATCCATTCTCATTTTGCGCGTTAAAGACTTAATTTGCATCCTTGAGTTGGCAAAACGTCCCATGTTACCTCATTTCTTGGCACTCTTGATAGAAATAGGTGAAATTAATACGTGGGTGTACAATATTTTTCTTCATTGACAAAGGAGAGTAGCTTTACTTTTTTTTTTTTTTCCTAGTAAGATCGACTCACCCCATTTTTTAATGATAAAGGAGAGCAATTGGGATGTGCGTAATCCTAAGTTTTCGTACCTCTCTTAATAGTGTGAAAGATTGGGATGCGTCAGTAACTTTAGATTGTGAATTAGTTAGCATTCAATTTTGTGTTATTTGATTTTATTTTTATTATCAGTATTTTGGCTCAAGGAAAACTCTATACCTTACAAGGAGAAAAGATTTAAAAGGAGAATTTGAGAGTCAAACTAAAAACTAGACAACTACCAAATTAATATTGCCACCAAATTGAGTTAGGTCATGAAGACGTACGTGCGCAAATATAATTTGCAAAGTAAGAGTATAATAATACTATTGCGTGTGAAGTTGCACCAAAAAAATAGAAAGGTAAAAAGTGAATTGATAAAAACATTGAGGATACAGAGTGGAGTTAGGGTAAATTAGAAATTGCAAGAGAGGGGGTGGCAGGGGTTGTAGTTTTGAACTTTGATCCCCTATAAATTTTGAGAAATACTTTTGAAGTCCTTCTCTCGCTGCCCTATAATTTTGGGAGAAAGCCCCATTGACTTCCGCTTCGCCCCCCTCCCCAAGCTTTTGCTTTAACAAAAGCTCTTAAAATTTACTCGTCAAATGATCTTAGATTTTGCATTTGGCTATAGTTGGTCCACTTTCTATAACTTTCGTTCCTCATTTTGGACAATGCTCTTTAATTGATTTAGTTTGTGAATTCTCTTGGATAAAGTATTGCATTTTAATATAGCAGCTAGATCTATTAATAGTTGGTCTTCCTTTTTTGTACAAATTATCTCAAATAATTGAAATTACAAATGATTGGAAATCATTGGCTTGAAAGTCTATAGGATATATATGAAGATCATTTACTCCATACTTTCTATTTAAGATCTAAGATCCACTTATTTTCCAAAATTAGAGAGTATAGAGCAACTCATTTATAGTTATATAAAGTGTTTGTATCTCTTGCTTTATTTGAAGTCATCTTGTGATGACAGGAATTTTCTTCTTTCTTGTTTTCTTTTGTTAATTTTGTGTAAATTCAAAGATATCTTCACGTCAACATAACCACCGAGTTTTGGATCAATAGCCATAAAAAAGGAATTAAATCTCTTTTTGGCCTATGGTGAAAAAAATTCAAAGGAGGTATCAGAATATTCTTTTAGTCTAGTCCGATCTGTATACTTGTTAGTCCATTGTATAGTTTCTTTAGACTTCTCTTCCTATAGAATAAGAAGATTAGCTTCAAAATGTTGTCATTGCGGCAAAAAAAAAAAAAAAAAATCTCTTCAAAATACTCCCACATGTCATCAAATGAAGTTAAAAGATAGCAAGCAAAGATTTTTTACTCACTTTTTTACTTTGTTTCTTACAGGACTATATTTGAATGAGTGGGAACAAAAAAAAGAGAGATAAATTTGTATCAGTAAATGTGAATGGTAACCCTGGCAAAGTACCCTTTTGTATTTGTAGTCACCAAACAACCTTGACTATGGCACCGTCTGCAATGAAGACTGCAACTGAGGAAAACGATTGAATGATGAATTTAAGCAATACAATTTCATAGTTTTACGTCTAAGATCAGCAAACTTTGTTTGTACATCTTTCGGCTTGATTGGGAAGATAAGTATAAAATACAAAATAGTGTTCTGTGTTGAATGGGAAGATAATGTTCCGATTATGTAGAAAAATGGTATTGTATTGTCGTTGTACATCCCAAAGTCTTGGTTAACTTGGTTTGTCCTAGCCCATTAGTCCAAAATATACGTTGAAGACTTGTACCAATGTCATGGAGAAAAAACAGATGAACAGAAAATGAGTTGAGAGATTGAGTGCGACCGAAATTGAGTTGAGAGCGAGTGCTCAATATAGCCACAAAACTAGGAGTAATGAACGGTTGGTTGTTCATTTCGAAAATGCCTGTATGGGAGGACACGAGATACATATAATGTAACTCAATGTTGTGACTCATATATGTTTTCTTAAAGATCAAAATGTGAAAGAAAAAGTAATCCAACTATTTGTTTCAAGTGTAATATGCATCTTTTCATATGTTTCCATGGTTTTAATCTTTGAAAGATTATCTAACGGGGGTTTCTTTTTCGATAGTTTCTTCCAATTTTTTTAGGCACTTTCTTCCAATTTTGGTAATTTAATTCTTTGATACTTCATTTGTCGCTTGTTGGGTTCAGGCACTGTCATTTTTGATACGTTCATTTCATAGTCTATTTGCTCAAACAAATAACTTTTTGGTCTCAGTTAAAAAAAAAAAACTTTTTGGTCCAACAAGTTCAACCAGCTTTCTGTGTTTTTGATCCATTTTCTAAGCATGTTTCTAAGTTTAAAGAAGATCGAGTTTAGTTTGAAGGGACATTAGCCTGATTACTAAGAGGTTCATGGTTGGATTCTCAAACTTTCCCCCTTATCCTTCCCTTATAAGGTGTGAAGTCTTTTTTGAATCTAATAATAAAGAAATGTACCGTTTACTTCTATAAAGTGATCTTTACTCATCAAATTTTTTCTTAATTAAACTATTGTGTAAATCAATTCGCTTCACTTCAAGATTTGTGCGAAAAGTTTGCGAGAAAGTTTTAATTTCTCATCCTTTGTGCACGTTATATCAGCAACGATAGAACAACTTATACCAAGACATTCTCCTGTAACATTAACCCAAATTGGTAGGACAAATTTAACATATTGTCAAATTACAGACCAGAAGAATATAATTAACCTCAAAGAAATGGGACGAAAACTAACACATTGTGAGATTGAATTCTAAATCGCGAGATCTACGACTCTTGGGAATTCAACTTTTTAAATTTAACACCAAAACAAGGCCTAATTGGAAATAGATACCAAGAGTATGCCTAAGATAAAAATGCGATCAAATAATAGGCCTAGTGTTTAGGTTCTCAAAAATTTAGTCAATCAGAGTTATCAAAATAAACATTTAGCACATAGTACTATGACGTTCTTCAATATTAAATGTGGACATTTGGGGCGTGGGGCCAGCCTCGTTGGGGTCCGGTACAATTTGGTCCTATTGTTATATTTTTACATTAGTTGATGTACAATTACATTATATTATTATATTTAGAGTAAAAAAGGTGTACATGAATAAAATATTTGAAATATATTCAATAGAACATTATGATGTATTTGTATACAAAAAATTTCAACATGTACAATGACGAGACGAAATAGCACAAAACACAATTGTATTGAGTCCTAGTCCGTAGATTTTTATATATCTATTCTTCTTCTTCTTTCTAAATTTGCAACCTGTTATAATTGTATATGTTTTATTTCGAGTCCTAAAATATGGAGATTAATTAATTTTTTCTTTCTATTTTTCATTTGCATGCGTATTTTTTCTGAATCACTGATTTCACTCGTGTCAATTCTGCCTATCAATTCCTTGGACCAATAATTGATTTTAGGGAAAAATGTATAAATCGTCCCTTACATATTATTGATGTTAAAATTCAGTTCCTCAAAATGAAAATGACTGATTTTAGTCCCTCATACATAAAAAGCGATTGATTTTGGTCCTCTGATACCTCTGCTGATCAATTCTAACCAGAATTAGCCGCGAGTCCACCATCGCCTTCAAATATCAAGGGTAAATTCGGCAATTAAGTTGCTGCATTGACTGGAAATGTAAAGAACCTATTTTATTATATATATATATATATATATATATATTGTCCAAATTGGGGCTTCTAACTTCAAATCTCCATGGCAACCACAAACTGTGAAGTTTAAATAACTGAAAAAAAAACTAAACTAAAATGTGAATATCATAGTAGAAACACTAAAAAAAAAGAAGAATCAATAATCATTTTCATAAGTAAATTAAAAAAACCCATTTTCATGGGCAACAGACAATCTAAAAATGCATTTTACAAAATGAATGCTCTTGAGCAAAGCCCTCACTGGCATATGAGGTCCTGGACAAAATTTGTTGACAAATTAATGGAGATGGTGCAGTTTATTTCTGCAGATTTCTTCTTCTTCAAAACCATAGTGAATTTGACTTTTCCAGTCAACTCAACCTTAGCAGTCAGTTGCAGCAACCCAGGATGAAAACCTTCAGTGTCGGAGTTTGAAGGATTAGTAACATCCACAATAACATAGAATGTCTTGGTGGATTTCAATCTTGCCCGTCCATTAGGGATCACAAATTCTTGCACCAATACACCTCCTGAGGTCAAAGTACTTATGTTGCTATCAAATTTGTAACGCGCAAAATTATTGTTCTTTATCCTGACTTGTGCCGTGTGCCTAATGCTCCTATTCTTCTTGTTGATGACATTGATATCCTCCAATCTTACTTTAGGTGATTTTACACGCATCACCACCAGGGCAGCCAAAAACAAAAAAAAAAGAAGAAGGAAGATTATTGTTTGAAATATAGCAAATGCAACGATATATGCTAACCTTTTCATTCTTTTCTTCTTCCTGAGCTCCATGGATTTATAGGTACTTGATTCGTCAGTATCACTCTTGGGCACAATAGTAGATGGCGCCATTGGGTACCCATTTCTTGAAGAGTTCCTTTAATTGGTGGGGTTTTGTTTAGGGTTTGGGAGAAGAAAAAATTTTAAGTGTTTTTGTTCCAATTTGGGGAATAGGGATGAAATAAAATTGGTCCTTCACATTTCCAATTAATGTAGCAACTGAATTGCCAAATTTACCCTTAAAAATTTGGAGCATGTGGTGGGCCCTTAGCTAATTCCGGCCATAATTGACCAGAAAAGGCGTTTGAGAACCAAAATCAATCGCTTTTTATGTATAAGGGATTAAAATCGCTTGTTTTCATTTTGAGGGACTGAATTATAACATAAGTAATATATGAGGGATGATTTATGCCATTTTCCCTTGATTTATACCATATCCTAGTTTTGTGGTGCGCAAATCACAACAAATTCAATATCGTTCTTACTTTTATGACATATTTTGTTCCTTTTTTCTCCTAAAAATTAATTTTTTTCTCAATGTTATCCAAATTGAGAATGTCGAAGTTGTGAGTGCTAGTTTTGTATCCTTTTTTTTCCTCAACACTTTCTCTTCTCTTCTTGTGGTTGACCTATTGGTGAAATATGGGGGTTTTCTAGTAGTTTATTAATCATTATTGCCCAATTTACAAAGGAAAATATTAATTTTGTTGTTTATTTTTCTTAGTGCATCAACTCCTAGATTCTAATTGAAATTCAAACAAGGATGCTATTAACATTCAAATATATTCATCCCCAAATCTGGATTTAAGCTTAATTTTCTTATTTTTAAGGCCTAGGATTTTAGCAAATTTAAGGCCTAGAATCACCCTAAAATGGTGAGCATTACGATTAAAGATGATCTTAAATTCCATATGATGAGTTCTTGTTTCACCTAATAAACCAACGTTTTTGTTTTCAATCGGATCCAGATTGCCGTGATTATAGCTTTTCTTTCAGATTTCCACAATATTCTTGCCTTCCAGGTATAATTCCTTGATTCCATTCGTGGACAAAATTTTTTCTTCCCTCTCATGTTTAAACTTTTAGATTTCTCTTGTAACCTTGGTTCAATATTTTCTCCTTTAATACGAACAATTAAAATTCTATTAGAGGAAATAATTCTGGTTTACACAATTGAATGGACATTAATAAAAGCTGATAATGTATTTTCTTCTCATCAATATCATAATGTCACTCCAAAGTGGATTCTGGTTTACAACGTCTGTATGTGGTCTCCATTGAGAACATTGATTGGGAAGCTTAAGTTAACGGTGACGTGTTTTTGAATGGTTATGACTGACAAATCCGTCGACATAATTATGACACGTGTATCAGATGGATCATATTATCGAAACCCATGGGATGTATCTCCTCAATCCATGGGTTGACATCATTGACTTGTTAGTAATCTATTAAAGTTGAGGGTTGACACGTCGACCTGAGCTTGTAACACGATATGCTTATAACCCGAATCACTAATTATTTCTTCATAATTTTGTGGAATTTTTCTATTATATAACTAAAGAAAGTACTAAATGGTTTTTCTTATATTAACGCCAAATTTCTTTAGATTCCTTCCTAAATTTATGGTTAAAGAAAGTCTAACACCCTACTTCTCTTCTAATATAGTATCACAGCCAAAATTTAAGTCAGAGGTCCTTTAAGAATGAAGAATTCAACCAAAATTTTAGACAGAATTAATATATTTTTGGCCAAAGAAAAAGCTAGTTGGATTCCCTTGCATATTTATCTGTATTAGTTTCTCCTAAATGTATCATGAAAATAGTTTAGAAACTTCCTTCCTAGGGTAAGTAGTGTAGAGTCAAAAGCCTTATAGTTTTTTTTTTTTTTTTTTTTTAAAGCCAAATTGCTTGGATTTTATTGCCTCAGAACAGTTCTTGAGGGAAAAAAGTTTGGTTTTGTAGAATCCTTCTTAAATCTACTGTGAATGGTTTATTCCCTCATAATTACAGTATTGGAGTCAAAGTTTAAAGGCAAAGGCACTTTAAGAGTTTACACCAAAATTTTCAAACAAAACTAAGCATTTTTGGGGAAAAAAGAAATTGATTTCCCTCCTATATTTACGTTTACGAACTTTTTCGGTTGCCACCTTAAATTACTAGTGAAAATTGTTTTTCTTCTATCCTAAATATAGTATTGCAGCCAGATTGGCAAAGGTCTTACATTTTTTTTTATACCAAATTCGATTTCTTCCTAAATTTTACCGTGAAAGCGGTTTATTTCCCACCTAAAATTGAATACTGGAGCTAATTGTTAAAGGTGAAAGCCTTTTAAAAATTCATTCAAAAATTTTCAAACACAAAATAAATTCTTTTTTGAGAGAAAAGCACTGCTCGAGATCCCTCCAATTATTTGCACCAAAATTTAGATGTCACTGAAATTTAGTGAAAGTAGTTTAATTCCCTCCCAATTTGTTGTGGAGGGTGGGGAATAGTCTGCGGAATCTACTCCCTGCCGGACACCAAAAAAAAAAAGCAAAAGGAGAAAGAGAGTATTGGTGCCAAAATGTCTAGGAAAATGCCGCATAAGAGTTAAAACTCAAAAGAATAAAAGCGAACTTGTGTCAAAAAAGATAAAGCCGACAGGGTACTAACTACTAGAGGTGTCAAAATGGGTGACTTGGGCGGGTTTGGGTTGGGTAAAATGGGTAATGGGTATAAGTGAGTCAACCCATTTATACCCATTTAATTAGATGGGTATAAATGTGTAAGTCAAAAAATGAATTGGGTAACCCAATTACCCATTTATAACCCATTTATTTTAATTTTTTGTAAATTCATTTAAATTCATTTTTGCAAACTAAGTTATCAATTTATACCGCTCTTTGTACCCATCATTAGTTTTAAATATTTACTTATAATGTTCAATAAGCCTAATTACCAAATTTTTTTCATTTATACTCTATTTCACAAAATTACATATTATTTAATAATTGAATAATAAGAATATAAAATTTTGAACTAAGTACTATAAAAGTTAATATAAAAATTTAATCCAAAAAATTTTAACCCCTAACATTTTTTCCATATATAAATTTAAAATTTCATTTTAGAAAGATAAGAAAAGAGGCTCAAATTTATCATAAATTGGTAATGCTGAAAAATGAGCAAGTTAACAAACTAAGAGAAAACAAAATAATAAAATAAAACCAACAAATAATAATAATAATGAAACAAAAGTAGTTAACATCATGACAAAATGAAAAATTTGAAAAAAAAAATGGATGGGGGAAAAGAAGAGATTTAGGGGAAGAGAATTTTAAATGGGTTAATTGGGTTTGATGGGTTACCCAATAATACTCATTTATTAAATGGATATTATTGGGTAACCCATTTATACCCATATACAAAAATTTAAGATACCCATACCCATCTATTCATGGACGGGTATGAGTAAATTTAGTTAAGTGGGTTGATTTGCCACCTCTACTAACTACTAACCAGTCGTGGTATAATCCTTCATTCGTCAATTCACATTTGTTGACAGATGGATACTTTTTTTTTTGGTATTGACAGATGGAAATTAGTTTTGCCCTATGGTTGTTGGCATAAATGATTGCTAATTTATAATATTTTATTATTTTGGACTATGACTTATTGTCTTCATTTTATTTCCTTGTTCTTTACATTCTCAAAAATTTGTGACATTTCATTAGTAATTTTTACCTAAAAGTTTGAAGGGTCAAGCACGTTAAAACACAATAAGACACTATCATCAATAAATTGCAGTTGAGATCTTCTATGCCACTACTCGGTGCCAAATTCAGTGTCAATCCCACTTATCACGTGATGGTAGAAAAAATTTAAATAAACAGCACATGACAAATTAAATAAACAAGATACTTGACATAAATATAAAAGTGACACTGAATTGCCACTGAAGTAGTGGCACTGAAGATTCCGTGTGAATAGGGATGGCAATGTGGGTGGGGGTTGGGGCAGGGGCGGGGGAAAAAACCACGCTTAGAAACGGGGCCCCCGTCCCCATTTTAAAAAATAAATATATATGTATATATGTATATAATTATATATATAATATATCATTTAATTAGTTACAAACTTATGATAATGATATTATTATTAGTTATATGTATTATATAATGTATGTTAGTATATGTAATATAATTGATATTATCAATTATACTAATAATTATATATGTGTACTAATACAAATTATTAATTGGTTATGCTAAATTTACGAATACATTTATACTAAATTCCTAATTACACTTAATACAATAATATTTTTTTTTTCTCAACAAAAAGCACAAGCACAATAATGAATTAGTGATTGTATTTGTGCCAAAAGTACTGACTACTTTAGTTGTATTTATTTCATCATGTTGGATTGTATTCAAATAACTTTTGTTTAATTGTTTTTATAAGTTTCAATTGTGAAATTACAATGAATTATAATTTGGTGATGTGTTGATATTTTAGCACTTAATTATTTACTAAAATTTAACTATAATAAAATTATATAACAAATTTTTATTAACTCCGCAGGAGAAATCAGGTGGGGCGGGAACGGGCCCGGGGGGAATGGGGGCCGGGGGACGGGGCGGGGATGGGGCGGGGGGAATTTGTAGGCCATCCCTACGTGTGAATAGATTGCGACACGAGCATGCACAAACCTTAATGTGTAGTGTATGACTTTGTGCTCGTTCTAACACGAACATGCAAATTGCATGATACGAAACTTTTATAGTCCTAGTTGAACTCTGAGAGTCTTGGACCAAAAAAAAAAAAAAATTCATGGGAAAAAAATGTTAAAGACTTGTAACAATTTCTTGGGAAAAAAATTCCTTCGACAAAAAAAAAAGGAAAATAAGTTGACCACATTTTGAGAATTATTGAAGTTAAAGTAGCCTTTTTTTTAGTTCTTTTTCTAAAAAATAATCACAAGATTTTGCAAAAACTATGAAATAGAAGGAAAAAGATAGAAAAGAACCAGCGCTTACTTGCCATACATAAGTAAGTGTGTTTTAATCTGGAAGATAATTCCATAACCAAATTTCATCCGGTCAGAATTGATGCTATCATTGTCTCTATCTCTGTCCTGGCATACGTGCATCAGATGTTCCAAGTGTTTGGTATATATATACATATATAAGTACCTGTAATAGAAATTATTAGCCCGTGTCTGTTGTCTTAAACGTTAGTAAAACTGAGAGTATAATCATGAAGAAATTATCTCACTTGTATTTTCCCCTTGGACTCTTCTTGCTAGGTTCTTTCTTATCTTGCTTAGCCATGACCACCCCCAACATTACCACGGATCAATCAGCCCTTCTCTCATTGAAAGCCAAAATCACTTGGGATCCTCACGAAATCTTGGCAAGCAACTGGTCGGCTACTTCCTCAGTTTGTGATTGGAGAGGAGTCACTTGCGGCTCTCGCCACCGCAGAGTCACTGCCCTGAACATCTCCAACTTGGGCCTTAATGGCACAATTCCTCCACAAATGGGGAACCTGTCCTTTCTCATGTCCCTCGAAATGAGCAGGAACAACTTCTACGGAGAACTTCCCCATGAACTGATTTGTTTGCGCAGGTTACGAGTCCTTGGTTTAGGCATTAACATGCTTAGCGGAAGTATTCCCTCTTGGGTTGGTTCCTTCCGACAACTCCAACACTTTTCTCTAGAGAACAACAGCTTTACAGGCTTTATCCCACCTTCTATCTCCAACATGTCAAAGCTAGAGACACTAAATCTGCAGTTTAATTCTCTACAAGGAGCAATACCAATGGAGATTGGGAACCTAAATACATTGAAGTATATAGAGATGAGCCGGAATCAGCTTTCAGGTTCTTTGCCACCGGAGATGTTCAATATTTCTACATCGGAAATTATTGCTTTTCAAGGTAATAGCCTGTCTGGTAGTCTTCCATCCAGCATATGTTCCCGTCTTCGAGGACTCTCACGGCTCGACCTTTCCTACAACGAATTAAGTGGCATGATACCAGCATCCTTATCCAAATGTTCAAAGCTTCGTGTGCTGCAGTTGTCATACAACAACTTTAGTGGGGTGATGCCAGAAGAAGTTGGGAACTTGACGGCACTCGAGGAACTATATCTCAGTCACGACAATTTAGATGGTACCGTCCTAACTCTTTTTGCATTTTTAGTTGAAATCACCAAAGAAAAGAGTTACATAGATCTTTATATATATATATATATATATATATATATATACTCCCTCCGTCCCACTTTGATAGTCCTGTATTCCTTTTTTATCTGTCTCAAATTATAGTCCACTTTTCAATTGAAAAATGTAGTTGTATTTTAATTTTTCTAAAATACCCTTATTCAATGTAAGTAGTTGTAACTATAAACCTACTCCATTTAATGAGAGTTGATTCTTTTTTTACCATCAATTCAAGTTCCCATAAAGTTGTACCATATTTAATGTAGGGGTATTTTAGAAAAATAACAATCTAAATTTACTTTTCCAATAAAGTTAACTACTTTTTCTTAAACTATGTGAAAAAAGAAACATGACTATCAAAGTGGGACGGAGGGAGTATATGTATATTCTCAAAAAATTAAATATTATACTGATTAGTAATTTAAAGGCTTGTAAGAACTATGAAGGGAATCCGGAGGCACACAGAAATTGGTAGGGCAAAAATCCCTAGAAGTAAGTACCCCAAGCAGATCTTACAAAAATTCATGAGCTCGTTTTATGTTGTTTAATACACGTTAACGTGCATAACTTTAATTTTATTTTCTTGTCAGTAATGAGAAAGAAAGTTTTTGATGAAATATTTTAAAAACAGATTAACAAAAGTAATTAAGATAAATACTTGCGTTACCCCATGGCTGGCTCTTTTACACATGCTAGCAAGCATAACTCTTTTTTTTTTTTTTTTCTCTCATTGAAATCGTCTTTTGACATGAATAAATATTTTAGAATTTTTAAGCAAAAGTAAAATAATTACTGGATCTCGCGATTTGTATGCGTTATTAAGGCTAATTAATTACTGGGTTCTTGAATGTAAAATCTCATGTCACCAAAGCTAGAGACATTAAGAGTATATAAACTGTCATTTAATTCTTTGCAAGGGACAATTCCAATGGAGATTGGGAATCTAAACAAATTGAAGATATTGGAAATCAACAACAATCAGCTTTCCGGTTCTCTGCCAATGGGGATGTTCAATATTTCCTCGCTGGAAGTTATTGGTTTACAAGGTAATAGCCTATCTGGCAGTCTTCCCGTTGGCATATGTTCCCGTCTTCAAGGGCTCACAAGCCTTGACCTTTCCTACAACGACTTAAGTGGTATTATACCGTCATCGTTGACGGAATGTTCAAAGCTTCAACTACTGTCGTTGTTTGACAACCACTTTAGTGGAATGATACCGGAAAGATTTGGGAACTTGACGGCGCTCAAGGGACTATACCTTAGTGGGAACAATTTACACGGTACCTTCCTAACTATTGCATTTGAGCTGAAATATATACATATATATATATATATATATATATATATATATATATATATATATACATATCTCTTGGTTGTTGTGAAAGTATTTTATCTGAAAAAAAAAGCAATTCCATGTTATAAGGAAGAAGGTTTTAAGTAAATTCTTTAAAACATTTTAACATGAGAAAAAAAATCACTTGGATCACAATTTGAATAGAATTTCCAACTAGCATTAATCCCCGTGCTATGCACAGGACTTACATTTTTTTATTAAAAAATAATTAAAATCTTAGAATAAATTATTCAACATTATTTTCATAATAAAAGCTATCTAAAATCCATAGAATCAAATATAGTTCCATATGAAATAGACTATGAGGTTTGGAAAGATATGCAAAAATTAATTATTATCCAAATTTCTGATTCTCCTCGAAAGATGTTTTGAGAACATGTTGCACCAATTGAGGATCTAGTGAATGAGTTGTACGCTGAGGAGTTGGAATAATAAACTGTAAAAATTGTACAGATAAGTGATAATTAACCAACTTAAAATAAGTAGCATAATATTAAAAGTTTGGATAACTAAAGAGATTACACTGAATATGAGTCTTTTAAAATTGTACAATAAATGATAACTATATAAGCAATTAAATGTAAGTAGTGTTTGTTTGAGATTTGTACAAATAACTGACTAATATCTTTGTAATTTTAAAACTAACAAAGTGTCAACAGGTTTAGCAGTAGTATTAATTATTTGTTAAACACAAGTCAAGCTCTAAGAACATTACAAACCTTCTAGAAGAGTTAAAATGGTTAACAGTATATATTATAGACTATAGATAGAGATTGTCATTAGTGTTTGAATATAAAATCTCACGTGGTAAAACTTAAATTTACTGGCCAATCATTTTTCGCTAGTTACTAGATGAAGACAATTTTGTAGATATGATCCCCCAAGATATTGGGAATTTAACAAACCTTAGGATATCGTCTCCCTTTAATTTAAACTTTGATGAAACATTTTACTAGAGTTTATAATCTACCATGTATATAAGAAGCAGATGGGCTTTTCTCCTTTGCCCCCTTACTTGCCACGTGACTTTCTAATAATTTGACAAGTGACTTGCTAATATTTCTTACACATTACTATTCTTGCCATTGCATATCATTTTTTTTTTTTTTTGCCTTTTGTTCATGCCAAATCAAACAAGTGTGCCCCTTATGTTTATGGGTATCCATCGGTTGATATTTGAGAATTTGGTAAAGAAAATTTTTATAATTTGAAAATTGACCTTTTAAGATAATATCTGATTACCGTCCAAACCTTAGACTGATAAATTGGATTAGAGAACCGATAATTCGGTAATAACCATAATCTAAAATATCAATAGTTAGTTAAAATACTTTATTTTTCTCTAAAAAAATTGTTGTAATAAAATAATATCCCATATGTTTTTGTAATAAAATTAAATCAACTTAATTTAAAAACAAACATGATATGCCTATGCCAAAAAAAGAGGTTCATAATCCTAAGTCCTAACTCATAATCTCAATTCTTAAACAACATTGAAATAAACAAGAACTTTAAATTTAATTGTTAAGCTAAACTCCAACGTATCAACTTCCATTAAAATTTTACTTCCAAGTATATTTATAGTTAAGTTAGCTAATTAGTAATTATTTAGTGATAGGATTAAGATTTGCTCTTATATTTAGTAATGTACATAAGTGGCCATATATTCTACTTTTGCTCCTTCTATTGATTTTATGCGAAAGAAAGGTTTTCACCTTATTGTCCGTGAAATTTAGAGGGCATAACCTGTGCTTAGCACAGCCTGAAGTCTGCTAGTGTCTTAATTAATCCATGTCATGCATTAGCATTTCTAAACGTGGTAACTCTCTAGGTGGTATTCCCCAAGAGCTTGGCCGCCTAAAGCATCTTGAAGAACTTGCTTTTGCCAACAATAGCCTAACTGGATCCATACCAGCCCAAATATTCAACATCTCGACATTGCAAGGACTGGACCTAACGAACAATAAGCTTTCTGGAAGACTTCCGTCATCCACAGGTTATGGATTAATCAACCTTGAAGTGCTTGTTCTCTTTTTGAATGAGTTTGATGGAGTAATACCAGCCTCAATCTCAAATGCGTCCAAGCTTACTATTTTAGACTTGACTCGAAATAGATTCAGCGGTCCAGTTCCAAACTCTCTTGGAAACCTAAGACTTCTAAGACATTTGGGCCTTGTTGAAAATCATTTGACATCTGAACCTTCATCGAGAGAATTGAGCTTTATTAGTTACTTAACAAATTGCAAGTACCTGAAAATATTAGGTTTTGCTGAAAATCCGCTGCACGGTTTTCTTCCGATATCAGTTGGGAATCTCTCAACTTCTATGGAGGGCTTCTATGGATATGGTTGCGGAATCAAGGGAAGCATTCCCGATACAATTGGGAATTTGAGCAGATTATTCATTTTGAATCTACATGGAAATCACCTGAGTGGACCCATTCCCAGCGCAATGAAATATTTGCAAAATCTTCAAGTTTTGGATTTGGATGATAATCAATTAAGTGGTTCAATCCCAGATTGCATTTGCAGGTTAAAGAGATTGTACCAAATCGATCTGGGGCAAAACCAGTTTTGCGGGTCAATACCATCATGCTTAAATAATATTAGTTCCCTGAGAGGAATTTTCTTTGCTGGGAACTTATTAAACTCAAGCATACCTGCTAGCTTGTGGAACCTCACTGATCTCTTGACGTTGAACCTGTCATATAATTCCTTGAGTGGCTCACTACCTTATGAAACTGGAAATTTGAAGGTAGTAACACTATTTGATTTGTCAGGAAATCAGTTTATTGGGAATATTCCAAGTTCCTTGGGAGGCTTGCAAAATTTAGCAACGCTATCATTAGCACAAAATAAACTTCAGGGACCTGTTCCAGACTCTCTCAATCAAATGTTAAGCTTGGAATTTTTGGATCTATCCAATAATAATCTATCAGGTCCAATACCAAATTCCTTGGAGACACTTTTATATCTCAAATACATTAATCTTTCTTTCAACCACTTAAGAGGAGAAATTCCCTCCAGTGGTCCTTTCAAGAACTTCACATATGAATCATTCATGTCGAATGATGACTTGTGTGGCGCTCAAAGATTTCATGTTTCTCCATGTCATTCTCCTCGGATTCACAAATCCAGTCAGAAGAAAGTATTTCATATGCTAGGCATTCTATCAGGTATTGCAGCAACAATAATTGCTCTTACAACTGCTGCAATTTTACTTTTAAGATGCCGAAGAAAGGATGGGATTTCAAGAAACACTGATTTGTTGCCCATGGGATTGCCAAAAATGATTTCATACTATGAACTTGTGCAAGCAACCAATGGTTATGATGAAAGCAATTTGCTTGGCAAAGGGAGTTTTGGATCTGTATATAAGGGTATTTTGACGGATGGGACAGTTGTAGCTGTGAAAGTTTTCACTTTACTAGCAGAAGTCACTTCCGGGAGTTTTGATACAGAGTGTGAAGTTCTACGCAACCTTCGCCATAGAAACCTTACCAAAGTGATTGGTAGTTGCTCTAACCTGGACTTCAAGGCCTTAGTGTTTGATTATAAGTCTAATGGGAGCCTTGAGAAATGGTTGTACTCCCACAACCATTGCCTGGATCTGCTGCAAAGGATAAGCATAATGATGGATGTTGCTTCCGCATTGGAATATCTCCATTTTGGTTATACAACACCAGTGGTTCACTGCGATCTGAAACCTAGCAACATATTACTCGATGAAAGTATGGTTGCTCATGTGAGTGATTTTGGTATGGCAAAGTTTTTGGATGAAGAAAATAGTGTTCTGCATACCAAGACACTTGCAACGCTTGGATACTTGGCACCAGGTTTGGCATATTTGACTTCTTTTTAGTTGCTTTTTTTATCTGTTTTTTTCATGAATAATATGTCAATCTTCCAAGTTTTCTATTTTTTTTTTCACTTTCAGCGTGATGGATTGCCTTTCATATCACAGAGTATGGACTTGAAGGGCAGTTGTCAACAAGGGTTGATGTGTATAGTTTTGGCATAGTTTTGATGGAAACCTTTTCAAGATTGAAGCCTAGTGATGAAATGTTCAAAGATGATTTCAGCTTGAAGAGTTGGATTGAAGAATCTCTACCTAATGCAACAACTCAAGTTGTAGACGCAAACTTACTTGGGCAACAAGATGAGCATTTCAGCGAGAAATTGGAATGTGTTTCAATGATCTTCAAATTGGGTTTGAGTTGCTGTGCTGAATGCCCACGAGATCGGACTAATATGAAGGATGTTGTGGCT